TGGTTATAAAAGGCTCCTACCCCCAGGAACGAGGTATGCTAACTTTTGCGCTATCTTGTTTATCTTGCCTTTGAAGGATTCTAACTTGAGCTTCGGAGCCCTTACGCCGGRTTCTCCYCGRAGCBTCTCTTCTCCTTCCGTTTCAGGTCCCTGTTACTCAGTTCAGAGGCAAGATCATTGACAGCTAAGACCGGCCAGATTGTGCATCATCAATTAGTATTAGTAATAATTAATTATAATTATTGATAATAATAATGTAATTATATTAATTAATATAACTTTATTAATTATAATTACTTATAGTAATATAATTAATTATTTCATATAAATGTATGAATTATAATTTCTAATAATAAATATAATATGAAAAGTTACCATTAAATATTTATTTTCAAAATAATTAATATAAGTTAATATAAATACAAAATGATTATTTTCAAATTATTAATTTCCATTATGAAAATATTTATTAATTATCATTTCGAATTAATAATGAGCAAAATTGTTAGTAATAAATTATTAGTAATTAAGTATTAGCAGTAATTATTATAAAAATTATTTTCTGAGTTAATAATGAGCAATATTATCACTAATTAATTATTATCAGCAATTAAGTAATAGTAGTAATTATTATAAGAAATTATTTTCAGTAATTAATTATTATCGGTGAGTAATTATTATTAGTAATTAATAGCTGTAATTAATTAATTAGAAATAGTTAACAGTAATTATTATTAATAATCAATAGCTGGAATTAATTAATTAGTTTTCTAGTTAACAGTAATTAATACCATAATTTCATTTTTTTAGGAAAGGATTAAAAGTGGGAGCTTCCCACTTCTCACAACTCTACATGGTGGTGGGCTCTACTCTGCATGTTAGTGGGCTCTTTTCTTGAACTACCACTAATAAAAATTTGACACATGTCTAGTGGGTTAAGCTCTTGAGCTACCATTAATCAGAATTTGACATGTGTCAATTTTGTTTAAATCTTTGGAAGGACAGGTGTCTGAATGTAGATGGGCCACATGTCTAACTGTAGGGGCTTTGGCCTGAAATCATTCCTTTAATGTATATATTAGATTGCGGGATGGGATGGGCCGAGCTGAAAAATGATCAACTCTACTTCCTACGTACACATTATTTTATTTAGATCTTTCCATTGTAGATTTTTTTTTTTTGTGTGTAGAACTTTTCATTGTAGAATAGCTGTTAATAAAATGCGGATATAAAGTCATTTTAATGTTTTAATATTTTTAAGAAGTAAACAAAGTTCTATCATCTTTTAGGCTCAGCTTGGAAAGAGTACAAATACAAATATGTAGAGTGTAAATACAAGGTTTACATATATAAAATACAATATTTGCACGCTACATTTTTGTATTTGTACTTAGGCTCAATTTGAAAAGAGTATAAATACAAATATGTTGAGTACTAAATCTTGTATTTTATATTATTTTATTTGTATTTTGTACCATACATATTTATATTTGAACTCTTTCCAAACTGAGCCTTTAATAACTAAAAATGAATTGCAAAAGCAATGACTCCTAAGAATAAGAAGTAATAACTTGTATGCACCTAAACATACTTTTTGGATGTTGATGTAGATGATTAAGGCCATATTTGGGAGTGCTTTAAAATAAGTGCTTATTTGGGCTAGGACCACACCATTAAGCACTTACTGGTGTTTGAGAAATAAGCCCGAAATAAATGCTTATTTTTAAAATAAGGGCTTATTTTTTAAGCCCAAATTTCCAGCTTTTTTTAAGTGCTTATACAATAAGCACTTATTCAATTTTTTCATCCAAAATTATCCCTAGTTGAATTTTAAATACCACTTATAAAATTATCCCTAGCTGAATTTTATAAAAGTACTTTCATGAAAGTGCTTTTATAAGAGTACATTTATGTACTTTTTAAAAGTACTTTTATAAAATACTTCCATAGAAGTGCTTTGTGCTTTCGTAAAATTTGAAAGAAAATGAAGGACACAATAGTCATAGATGCTTATTGGAGAAAATACTACCAAATGACAAACACCCAATATGAAATAAGTGCTTATTTTTTAAAATAAACACTTGAAAAAGTTGGGTGACAAATGTAAATAAGTGATTATTTGAATAAGCACTTGTTTTTAAGCACATATTTTTAATGTAAGCACTCCCAAACATGGCCTAAGACAGTTCACATTTTATGACCCATAACCACTCTATCTCTCACTTAGCATTTTTGGATGTGAAACCAATTATAATGCCCCATGCCCGTCATAAAATACATATAGCCCACAACTACTCAATCTCTTACTTAGCATTATTGGATGTAAAACCATTTATAATGCCCATCCCCGTCATACAATTACAATGCCCACAACTATTCACCAATCTCTCACTTAGTATTTATTACAGACATGGGATGTTATCATTGGTTCCACAGCCCGCTATACAGCCATCACCTTCAACTAATCCCATTCTATTGGCTAATGGCTTAAATTTATACAATCCAAAGTTTGTCCTGCCTAAGAGAAGGCTAATAAATAACGTGAGTAAATGAATTGTTCCAAACCTTTCCAAGAGTTGTAACAGAACCTTAAGGCTATATTTGGTTTGAAAGAAAAGGTAGGGAAAGGAAAGAAAATGAAAAAAAATATTACAAATCTTATATAGATTTCCCTGCATTTCTTCATTTTCCTACTTTTTCCTTAAAACCGAACATAGCCTAATTAATTTATTTTTACAACAATTTGTCTAGACATGACATGATTCAAATATTTGCTGTTATCTGGCTGCTGGTATCATACTTCAAACTAACACATCTACATTTTCAATTGCATCATGGAGACACACCATGGTATTTCCTTTATCTTTACAAACTAACTGTACATGTCGGCCTGATCAAAAGCAGCTTCCTGTAAACATTTCTCAGCTTTTCAATTTCTTGGAAGTTTGTTAACTCCAGTCAATGCTGTGTTTGGTTTGATAGAAAAATAAGAGAAAGGTGAAGATTGAGGGTAAGGTGTTGAGGAATTTCTGTATAAAATGACTATACAGGAAGTAAAATAGAAAAAAGATTATGCTCTCATCTCACTGTTCTCATCCATTCAGTTTTCGATTCATCTTTCCTATATTTTTAATCCTTTGAAGTGAACCATTCTACTGGAATTATCTTGTTAATTGTCATGTTCAGGATACTATATTTATGCAGGTGAACCTATTGAATACTGTGTTTACTGTACATCTCAATAGAAATAAAATTGAACTCAGAAGACAAAGACAGAAATAAAACCCTCTTTTTTTCCATGCTTTATAGAATATAGTTGCATGTTAAGTGGGCCCTTAGACGTTTAGCTACGAATAGTGGACCAATCATGATATGCCACGTCAGGCTGTCGTGTAGGACCCATGTCCGTGGCGTATCAAGATTGGTCCAATTTTGAAATGGGGCGTTTGGCTTGGATTTTGGATAGCATATGGAATGAAGACAGTATTATCATACATGTGGGTTGTTAGGGTATGGATCCATTTGCACAATGAGCCCATCTGCATTCTTCAACGAGGAAATTGATCAATTGATTGATAGGTTTGTTCAATTCAATTGATCTCATTAACATCTCATCTCCAAGCCCACACCCCGTAAATGTAAAGCCCAGTAGTAATTGGACTAAGGTACAGTGGTTAATTGGCTATTATGAGCTCGGTCGGGTCTACCGTACCCAAACTCTTTTAATGTAAGCCCAATAAATTGCTAAATGTTAATTAGTTAGTTAAGGCTTAAGCTTACCCACTCTATCAAGCTACATGATGATGATAAACTTGTGCATTCAAGTCAATGAATCAATGCTACATTACCCAATAACCCAATAAGGGTCAGTCCTCGTGAATTTAGGGGTGTTTATTGTACCGGATTTGGTCCAATCTCATCCAGTGTGAATCCATTGCAAATGGATCAGGTCTAATTCAATCCAATGAATATTTTGGATGATTTTAAATCAGTTTAATTTAATGTTTAGACTGCTCAATTTGTTCAAATTCGTTTTAATATATATTGATTTTAACCCAAACTCAGTCCATTGACACCTATATTCTTATCTTATATCAATGGACCAGATTTTAACTTAATCTAATGCAATCCAATATAAATTTATAAGGGACCAACTGAGTCCAATCCAATCTAATAAATATTTTGATGTCTTATTGTTCATCCAATCCGTCCAAATGGATTTACCGGTCCATTGACACCCTTACACACGACCAATCTCTCTCTAGTACGTATGTAATAATGAATCTCTGCATGCATGATCGTTTCACTCACATCTGCAATAGTTGACGCTTACTTAGTTAGTGTACAACTTAGCAATTTGGATTTTGGAATGTACGTGTGTTGCGTGATATTTGTCACATCGAGAACAGTTTACAATTAATACTTGATAATTTGATATATTAATATCAAGTACAGCACAAGCTTTTTCCTAATAATTCCTACACAGAAACATCACAGACGAGAGAGAAAGAGGGATTAATAGTTCTACTTCAAAATATATATATATATATATATATATATTAATACTGCAACTTAAGGATTCTCTGCTTGAGCTTGAGCTTGAGCTTGATCACCATTGAGTAGAATAACGAGGTGAATGCTTTTAGCATAATCCAGCAACTTATCAGTGGGAGGAATAGTTTCCTTAACCTCCGGCTGCTCTTCGAAATCCCGCAGCCAGGAATGGAACCTGGGGAACCTCCCCGACTCCACAAGCTTCACTCCGGCGACCTCTTCCAACACCCACAGCCAATAGGATCCGCAGCCCAACACGATATCCAGCATCCCAATCTTATCACCTCCAAAGAACCTCCTCCCCTTGAAGTACCCTTCTTCCATCTCCTTCTCCAGCAGCTTCAGATTGTCGTTCACTTGCTCCACTGCCGCCTTTTGTTGCTCTCCCGTCGACCGGAATACCAGCCCCACTGAAGGACCCAGCTGCAATATATATATATATATATATATATAATCCACAAGACGGCCATTTAATTAATTAAGCTTCTATTCTTCTGTAGTGTTGTGTCAATTAGAGTAGAAAACAAAACAAAAAGAGGCATGGAGTAGTATCTAGCTACGTAATTACCTGGTCGTCGGCAAAATGAGACCAGAATCGGACGAGGCTTCTCTCGTAGGGATTGTCGGGCAATATGGGGTTTTCCGACCAGGTTTCGTCTATGTACTGGAGAATGATGACAGACTCGGCCACGGCCTTGTCGCCATGGAGGAGAACGGGAACCTTCTTGTAGACGGGGTTGTAGAGCAAGAGTTGAGGGCTCTTGTTAGTAAGCTCCTCTTCCACGTACTCGAACTCCACACCTTTGAGCTTCAAAGCCAGTTGCGCTCGGTGAGTGTATGAACTCGCCCATGACCCAAACAGCTTTACCTGATCAACACACACAAACGACTCCTGCTGATGATTATCAGACTGCATCATCACAAGACTAATTAATAACCGATCGAGATCAGATTGGTTTCTCTATTATCTCATTTGCCTCCCCACACCACACGCTCGCTCTCTATCTTGTGTTGGCATTTTATAGACAACAACAGAGAGAGAGAGAGAGAGAGAGGGAGTTGGGTCAAAAGCAAAAGTGAGTGGCGTTGGCGTTGGCGTTGGTATCTTCTTAGGTACGTATAGGTTAGCTCCCTCCTGCTAGCAGGGTGGGCTCGGCTCCACATGAACTCTGGACCCTGGCTTGATCCCCAAGCTAGGGTGCTGCACCCTGCACCCTGCAGAAAGTTGATTAATATATAACTGCATCTGCATTATATTATATTATTTATTTCCCCAAAGGCCAAATTAAGTGTAATTACTATATACAAAAAGGAGGGCATAGTACTGTCAATTTTGTCGTTGAAATTTGACTCTATCTAATGGGTTAAGTTGCACCGGCTGAAGGCTGAAGTGAACCCTACTTAATTCTACCTTTGCGTAGAAGAAGAATACACAGCAAGGCAACAAGAAAAGAAGATAGCATATGAGACCGTGAGTAATTTGCATGCATGACAAGACTTCTGCTGCGCTTTCTGCCTTTAACAGTCCTTCAATAAAGGCAACACATGTATATATTCAATTTACGTTTTCGTTTTTATGAATTAATGCTAGCTAGCTATGCCAATAAATTATAAGCTTGTACATCAAACACTATTGAATTTTTGAAATCGAATCCTGCTTGCACTTGGCAGTATACAAGGCAAATGCTAGACTCAGAGCTAGGCCTCTGCTCTGCACCCACTTGAGGGTTAGGGTTAGGAGTTAGGATCAATCTATATGTGTGTCTTTTCAAATGCTATTTAACGATTGATTAACGGATTGGTTAACGGTAGGGTAGGTATTAAATTGATATAAGTTTGGGTATTGAATTGTCGTATTTGAAAGCTTTTTTCGCTCATCCTTAATTACAATAATTTTGATTTGATCGTTCGGCTTATTTGGTGTGAAGGTTTAACTGTGGCCATGCAGCTGCTAGGTGCTAGCCCTCTTAAATCTATGACCATGACCTCAGGGGAATTGTCCGTTTTATTTAAATTTGTATCCGTGTTAAATTATTATTGCTTAAATCATTTCTTACTACTTCTACCTATATCATTTTTGTTCTACCCTAAACTCTTTTAGTCCCTTCAAATCATGAATTCTGGGGGAATATTGTCCATAAATTAATAAAGGGATGATACATGTTGCTTTTACAGGCAGGCAAGGGAATTCAAATCAAGTAGGATGGCCATAGACCAGGGGGATTAATGTCCTATTGTTTATTGATGATCTATCACTCTTTTCTTCTCTTTTTGTTGATTCCCTACCTAATCATATATACTAATTAGGCCCCATTTGTTTGCTGGTATTTCACAACGGTAAATTAGTCAATAATCAGATAATTGACCAACTTCTCCATGTTCTTGCACCTCTATAAGGAGTCCTACGAAAAAGTGAAATTTATGGAGAGTATTGATTGCCCTAAAGTGTGAATAAGTTATTTATCCACCCACTGAAATTGTTAATCTTCTACTGCTTCTCTCTTTATAATGAAAACACCTAATTAGAATACTGATACCAAAATTATTCAGACAACTTTTGACCAAAAATTTAGGTAAGGTCATGCTTGTATATTGTTCAATAACAAGTGGAGAATAACCCATTCATTAATCCAATACCAAATACCAATAGACTAATTAATAGTCCTGGGTCAGACTCTCGCGTCTCAAAATCCTTCTTGTCACTCTGCTCAGGATTAATACAAAGTCACAGTGCATTGCATTGTCCATCGTGATTATAGAGTTGGACACTTGGACCCAAGACTGATGCCAAAGCTCAATCTCAAGCTGCTACGTATGAAGTTATGACTTATGAACAGTGAGCTTCAGAGATGTCAAAAATCCCTCCATCTCCTACACTTGCTGTCTCCCATCATTCTCCTCTGCTTTTAGAGCCTTTTTCCTCTGTAAAAATTTGTAAGGTACACCTCCTAACTATTTGCATTAACTTGAATGTACGTACTCCCAAGTAAAAAGTTGTACAGTAGTGAAAAAAGAAAAGTTGATAGTTTCTATTTACCACATGACAATGCAGGCCTTGTGCCTGTTTGGTGACTGATTCAAGTCTGAGGTCTGATTCATTAAAACACAGAATAAGCAAGTCTTTCACAGTCTCACGGGGTCTGCATTCTTGCTTCACTACTTCTGTTTCCTCTCCTCTTGAGTTGAGCAGAACGAATAGGAATTCCATCCTCAAAGCTCCATCAATCAATTTGGACTTCATGGTTTGGATTATGGGTTGACTATCAATATTGATTAAATCATTCCCGGTTCCCACTAGCTAGATAATGTTTCTCCTTCATTTATTAAATTAACTTTGAAACTTTTTTTTATTGGTAAAAACTATGAAATTAGGTTACATTGGTTTTCACTTATCTGGGTATGTGAGTTTATCGGAGCAAGTATTTCTTAGGTTTCGTTTGCTTGGATAAGTTTGCTTCCAGCGTTCTTGACCTCCTCAATAATAGGTTACTCAGATAAAAGGAGAGATAGGAGGGAGAAATTGTTATTGACGTCCGAGTAAGCAATTTATTCACCTTGAGACCCAGTATAATATCATATAAATATAGGATCATGATCAATTATCCGATTGACCAATTTACCTCCCATGAAATACACAATTGCAACCTTGAGTGAACAAGATTCAAATGTAACCACAATAATGAGTGTACTTTCTAGTTTGAACTCTGGTGGGTTCTCAAATTCCTTCCTTGCTGGGTTGCTGTAGACATGATATTCCCAACTTTTAACTTTGCCCTGTAGAGCGTGTAAAGCAATAGAGCCTAAAGCAAGAATCTTCTTGTTTCTACCTCCTCTCTTCACCACAACCTATCCTATCCATGGTTGTCTTCTCTTTTTCTCTGGTAGCTAGTAGGTCCAGTCCAACTCTACAAATCAACTTATGAAGATCTGATACGAATACTGACTAATATAGAAAGGGAAAACATGCATAGACTTTGATTTCAAAAGCAAAAGCCGATTCTTTTTACCCATTAAAAAAGGGTGGATTCTGCTTGTCTTTTTCTATATATATATATATCCATTCTTACTTAAAAAAGGTATATGAGCAACAGAGCAAGAGGAGCTCTAACTCTTTTCTTTTCTTTTTTTCTTTTGTTAAGGCTCCCTGTGACTCTTATCTATATATGATTATATGTAGTACATGTTATTGGGGTGGGTGGGTTTCAATTCATAACCAGAAAAATGCCATTTTTATAATAAAAATAAAAGAAAGAAAGAAAGATAGAGAGAATATCCATAGATTCAATTCAAAGATTGGTGGTGTGTAGTAGTCAAAGAATACCTAAGCTATGCGTGTGTGTGCACGGGGCTCAAAGGACAGTCACAACATAGCTATAATGGGCCCAACCTCATTTTTTTATGGGTCGGGCCCAGTTCCTTTCTACCTTCCACTATTTAGCATTTACCACTCGTACTTGGCCAGCAGTGAAAGTAAAGAAGGACGGCAATGGATCTGTTAACTTGGTGCCCTTTCTTAGCTAATGGGTACTAGTAAACTGACATGTCCTTTTTTTTCCTACAGTCATGAATCTTCTGAACCGGAGGGCAATTGAAGGCTTGGGTATGGGTAGTACCTAAACTTTAGGCCAACCAAACAAGTCCGATAGTATTCTGGACCTAGACCTCTATCTTCACAAGTAACCTACCATCTATTGTTTCAATGCTCTTTAATCAAGATTCCAGACCAAGCTAATGCAACCTTAAAACTTACCCTTAGTCCAAATTCCAAATATTCCCTGTTATATACAATTATACAAAGATATACTTGAAAGAAGTTGGTTTATTTTTCTTGTGTTTATGGATGAGCAAGTAAAGGTCCGTTTGGTTTATAGTCGGAATTAGAATATCTCAGAATCGGAATCAGAAAGATCTATTTCTTTCCATTGCCTGTTTGATTCAGATTGGAATGGAATGGAATCAGAATTGACTGGAATGGATTTTCATTCCAAGGAGAGGGGGAGGAGATGGCCATTCCACTAGGAATGAGAATGGGTCAATGGGGTTCTCACTTCACCCAATCAAACAGTTGGAGTCAGAAATGACCATTCTGATTCCAATTCCAGACCCTTATTCCCGTAAACCAAACAGATCCTGAGATGTTTTAGTATATTCAACATGTCAAGTTTCGCATGTTATATCGGTCCAATGTTTTCATCAAATTTGCCACTCAGACTGTTATCCAACTCTAGCTTGCAGATTCGGAACTTGTCTTGAACCACATCGGATGATGGAATCTGACTTCACAAACTCGAGGTGTGCAGATTAGGTGGATATATGAATGTATTAAATATATGAATGTGTAAAAATATAAATAAAATTTTAAAGTATACTGTATACATATATTTCAGAATTCATAGGGTCCATTTGGTTCATGGATGGAGTCGGATCGGAATGGTCTATTCCCATAGTCTGTTTGGTTTGGATAGAAATTAAAATCAGCTGGAATAGGATTTCATTCCCAAAGGGGAGAGAATGGCCATTCCCTCAAATGGGAGAATGTCATTCCACTAAGAATGGAAATAGGATTTCGATTCCACACAACCAAACAGTAAGAATCGGAATGCCCTTATCTTGTTTTTTTTTTCCCAAAGTCTGAATAATTCTTGTATTAAAATTTTGCCAAATTATTCACATTTTCTCATTTTTGAGAAATTCATAATTTAGGACATGCTTCTTAAAAGCATGTCAATCAGTGTTTAGAAAACCAGACCGGACCAGTCAGTTGGATTGATTGAGCCGTGACCCGAGAACTTGGCCGGTTCATTCATACCCCAATAACTGCTTTGGTTAAAAAACTGCCTGATTGGTCGATTTAATTGAAAAACCGGTGAACCATTCCCAATTTCATGAAACCACCTGAGTCTTTAACTAATAGAAAGTTTAAAATGTGCTCAACAAGATTCAAACCTTTAACTTGTATTAATTAATGACTCTTTATTGTACATATTACTTTATTATGCATGTATTTAAAGAAAATGTAAATTAAGAGACTCGAACCCTAATCACATTTGCTTTAAAAATTAAGGAACTCACCATCAATACACCATATTTAAGTATATTAAAAGTTGTAAAATGTATTATATATAATATTTATGACTTCTAGCCACATCATCATGGTTCAACCTCCGGATTGACCCCAGTTGAACCTTTGACTCATAAACCTCTCCCCTCTCCCCTTTCCGCTTCTATGCTCGGTCCGGTTCTCAGAACATTAATGTCAATACATGTATAACAATGAATTTCCTAACTATGATTTAACATATAGATGGATCTCATCAACCAATATGGCATCCCTATAGATCACTTGAGGCCTCCCGCCTCCAAGATAGGTAGAGATGGCAATTTAACCTGTCCCCATGGGGCCTACACTGATCGGGGCAAGTTTTTTGACTATTGATTGGGGTTTGGGGCGTATTCGGGGAAAACCCGAATCTCTAGGGTTAAGGACGGGGTGGAGATAGTATTTGTCACCTCGACCTCGTCCTAACTATATATATATTATACTATTCTATATTACATTACATAATGTAAAATAGTTCTAGGTAGGTTTAAAAAAATAAATTAATAAATATGTAAGTAAGAATGACTAGGTTGGGGCGAGGCAGGGCAAAGTCATGGATCTCTGTTCCCTATAGGGACAAAGATGGGGTTAGGATTTTTAGCCCCACTAGGGTTCGGGGTGGGGAATTTGAATTTGAGGTTGAGTACGGGGCAAGCAAAACCCAACCCTTTCCCACCCCATTGCCATTCCTAAAGATATAGGTGCAAGTGGGGCTAAGATCAATCTTAAGAGTTTGGCTTCGGTCAGTGCAAGCCCGTGCTTACACCGTTCGAATAACCTCTTGCAACCTTGCATTGGGAATATCTCCCCAAAAACGAACTCTAATCCTAACTCAGCCTAAGATGTTAGAACCAATGTTTTAAAAACTAACCTAGAGGCCAAACCCTTTTTGCCTCCAGGTTGTGGGTCACTGGTTCGATTGGATGAGTTGAATGATTTACACTGTGCCACATCATATATATATATATATATGTGTGTGTGTGTGTGTGTGTGTGTATGTGTGTGTAAATATATATTTTAATAATAAATAGTGTATAAATATATTTTAAATATGTTATATGTATTATTTTATATTTATAAAAAATATTAAAAATACAATTTGAAGCCAAAAAAGGATTTTTTTCACAAAAATAGTGGGATAGGCGCCTTAAGACGCATAGATCTTGAAAAGTTACTCAAAAAAAAAATCATTCCAATCAAACATCAAAGTGCAAAGTTATGACCTCCAAAAGTTTTACATGCATTAAATATGCAATCCACAACACAGTTACCGGATCCGGTCGAACCAGCTGGGTCGAATGATTCTTGACCATATCAACGGTTTTTGACAGTTTAATAGGTCTTGACTGAACCAGACCCGAAATTCTGGCCAGGTGACGGTTTGAACAATTCGAATGGCCTGGTCAACAGCAGGTTGAAAACATTGGTTAGAACTTAGAACCCCCAACCCAACTCGACCACTTCATGGGTTTAGGTTGATTTGATTTCTTAATTTTGCTGAAATCTTTGTATTTCTCAAAGTCAATGTTTTAAAACAGAGGCATGCACATGCCCCAAATGCATCAACGCCCCCTTTTTGGGGTGCCTCACTTGGAGGTGCGCCTCGAGGCGTACACCTCCCACACGCCTTTTAAAGCATTGCTCAGAGTTTAAGTTTGTTGGTTATGGTGCTTTAGGAGTACCAAATATTAACTTTTTCCTTCAAACTTAAATATGTTGATACATATTGCCCAAGCCTCCACCCTAAAGCTAAGAGTTCAAGTACCAACTTTTAAGGTTTTGCAGTACAAGGTGTACAAAGAACTGGTCCTATAATTATTTGGCTATTCCCTAATTTTTTTTTTCCTTGGTTACTTTCCCCATTGCTCAGAGCTCCTGTATAGACTACGTACAAGTTTTAATTGTAAGTTTGCTACAATACAGCATATAGACCATAAAGACGTATAAACAAAACAAAAGCATCCGGATTGAAAACAAATTGGTTCTCGAAACAAAAAACACATAAAAAATAATATATGTTCTTGTTTGTATATGCGCCTTTTTTTCGCTTCCAAAACTAAGATATAAAATGTGTTCTTAAATTTCTGGTTTAAAAAACCTATTTACATCTAGTGATTGATATCATGTTTCATAATTCATACTGCACTCGGAAACAAAACTCACTTTTTCTTTTTTTTGCTTTTCAAACATAGTTCAAGAAAATGTTTTAATTCTTTTGATGATGTGGCAATTTTAGAAACAAATGAACACAAAAACATTCATGTTGGAGAACACCTAACAAGGGATTGTTTCTTGAAACAAAGCACACTTTTTTTTGCTTCTCAAACATAGTTCAAGAACATGATTCAGTTCTTTTGATGATGTGGCAATTTTAGAAACAAATGAAAACAAAAGCATTCATGTTGGAGAACACCCCCTAGCTTGGGATTGTTTCTTGAAATAAAACTCACTTTTTATATATTTTTTGCTTCTCAACCATAGTTCAAGAACATGTTTCAATTCTTTTAATGATGTAGCGATTTTGGAAACAAATGAAAACAAAAGCATTCATGTTGGAGAACACCCCCTAAACAAATACTAATGACTACCAGTTCCATGTGAAATGACAAGTTACAACTGCAACAAAACTAGAACTCCAGTAGACAACCAGAATCGTTTATGGTAATTGTAAATAACAATACCCTGTAATATCTATCAAAAAAAAATAACAATATCCTTTGATAAATAAACTTTGAAGCTATAACAGGCTTAAAAATGAATCAAACTGTGGCCATCACAGTGGCCATCAATTTGCAGAATGAACTAAATAAAAGCTCACAGGATCTCTCTACGAAACATATAAGTTGTTTAATAGGAACTAACTCATGTAATGCAAGAAGCAAACTACAGTCTCATCGCCTCTCTTTCAGCTCAGGATCCCTGAAATAGTGAAATCACGACTCAATGAGGGTAAGATGCAAAAAAGATAACTTGGGGGAAAATTAGTGCATGGAGTTGGCTCAAACCTGTGGATGTGATCGAGAATGAGAAGCCTTGGACCAGGAGGGATTTTCACATCTCTGAGAGCACTGAAACAGATAAAGACCTCTTAGAACAATCTTATCTTTTTCTCTTTATAGTTTGAAATATAAACTATCAATGACTGCTGAAAGGAGCTGATAGGATATACACTCAAAGAAAATCTTCAACTACTTGCCTATCTGTAAGCAAAGGTAATGTGCTGTCTGTCAACAATCCTTTCTTGAAATTCTTCTCATAACTCTGAAGGCCAAGAGTTATGAGCATGGATCTTGTCTTGTTATAGAATGCATCTTCAGCTGGTGGCTGGGAGAACTTCTGCCCTAGCTGCAGAAACCCAACAATTTCTTTCAGCATGGATAGTTTCTTGGAATTCTCAGTTAGCTTAGGTGACACCAGAAGAGAAAATCATTAGTATCATAAAACAAGTTAAGCTCTCCACATGTAACGCAAGTAATGTGGAGATCTAATGACCTATTTTCTTGAATATACAGTTAATCAAACTTATCCACAAATACAAGTTAGAGCTAAAGGGTAGAGTACCAGTTTTTAAAGAGGTGGGAGATGGAAAAACACTACAGATGACAGGAATCATAGGGGTGCAATATCTAGGAGGATGATTTCTCTTTCAAACATATGGCTAGGCTTCCCCAATCAGAAAAACAAAGGCTAAATAAATTTTAGTTCTAAATAGAATATATCTAGTGTAACATCGGTCCCATTATATCTCTAAATCTATGTTGTTTTCTAACTCAAGTTAAAACTTTAGTTTGAATCCTTCAATTACAAATAAAATCTAATTTAATTTCCTAGCTCAAGTGTAAAACCCATCCCAAAGGCTACTAACACTTATTTAATCACAAATGAAATCTAATTTAGGATACTTAAATCATATAAAAACCTAGCCAAAATGCTTCAAGACTTATCATGTAGATATTACATCCTAAACAAAATAGTTAGAATGATCTGGTTCCCACTCTTCTAGATAAAATCCATAGTTTAATCATAAACGGAACCTAATTTAGTTTCCTAAATCAAATAAAAAACTAGTCTAAATGTTTCAAGATCCACCGATTGCAGATCACAAACAAAATATGCATGTATAACTGCAGATCCCAAACAAAATTTGCTAGTGATCAATTAAACACATACGCCTGCAGTTGCACACACACCCTGCTTTAAGGGTGTTCCTTAAATGCGATGCAACTTTTTTAAGTTGAACATGTTTGACACTAGAAAACATTCGCATGAGTCAAGTCATTTTAGGGATTAGGTTGGTTTACCTCAGGCTGTCTAGCTCAAACTTTTCCTCAGGTTAGGTTGGGTCTCAAGCAGTAGTACAACTGCAAAGATTGGGCCTGGTTCTCCCTTAGCCCAACAAACAACCCAACTAGGTTGAGTTGCACAGAAAATCTGTTAGCACAGGGAAGCTAAGGGAGTCCAGACCTGTGGTTGGGCATACAAGCAGTAGCCACATAGGTAGTTATTCCCCAGCTGTTCACTGTAACCGAATTTAACATCAAGGTTGTTATGGTTGTATGGGGTATAAAACTATAAATAGTTGTATGAATGGATGAAGGAACAAAGGAATTACATTTCTAGAAGCTGGTCGAAAGAACCCGAAGTTAGGTAGGTTCCTAACATTTTTGGTATCAGAGCAGTCGAGAATGACACTGGTGGAAGTAGAGTTGACTAGTTGGAGCCTTGGAGGTGGAGCTCCATCCTGTGACAGGACATCTGTGAAACCAAAGAAACCCTAATGGCAATGGCACTCCGTCTGGATCAATTTCCTCACATGCCTCAGGGTGCAACCAGAGAAGGTGATCAGGAAGGAGTCAGCCATAGAAGCAGTTGCTGCAGTGGCTCTTGGTCATAAGAGCACCAAGCTTGAATTTCTGATTTATCCTGAGCCAGGACCAATTTTTCCTTTTAAGCAACTTTCTTGGGCTGAAATGCAAGCCTGAGAAGAGAAAGGTCTCTGTTATAACTGTGAGGAAAGATTTGAGCCAGGCCACCATTGCAAGACCCACCAAGTATTATTGCTGCAGACAGATGGCCCCAAGGGTGATGATTTAGAGGGGACTCTGCCAGATCAAGAGTGGGGTCAGTTTAATGGTGAAACTCCAGAAATAATGTTACAAGCGCTTACTTGTCTAGCAGTGACAACACACTTAATTTCATTACATGTTTTCTAGCTAAGCAGCTTGGTTTACCAGTTCACCGTTCATGTTGCTAATGGGAGCAACCCCAAGTGTGATGGCATTGGCACTGAAGTATTGTTGGAAATCCAAACCCACCATTTGTGGTGGACTTATATCCCCAGGACTTCAATGGGGCAGATGTGGTTCTTGGAATCTGATGAGAGCAGATTTGGCCCTCCACTAACATCATGACACATGGCATATCAGAACAGCTGGACTACATCCCAGCATCACCTAGGCAACAACTTGCCTTAGCCAAAATGGGGTCCCAGCTGGTGACCTGCCTCTGCCACCGACCTGGCGACCTACCTTTCTAGAAGCTTGTTGTCTCCGAACCTTTCGGGATCACGCCGCGTAACCGTAGGCCTTATCCTCATCCCGCTCGAATCGGAGGGAAACGGTAAGCCTTATTAACTAGCGCGTTATCCTCCTTCCAAAGCGGAACGGACCCCTACGTTGTGGGCCGAGGATTCCGCGAGAGTTTCGCAATACCCATGGCAGCCCAATAAGGACGTCAGCCCCTGAGACCCAGGTAGATGCGCAATTTAGTTCTCGCAGCTCTCCAGCTCTCTCACATTTAGTTATCTTAAAATCTCTGATTCGCTAACTTAAGCATCGGAGTGCCCACCCCGGGCAAAGCAACCCAAGCACTCTGACACTACTTCCTTGCAGGTCGCATCAGAGCCACCTCTCCAGCTCGTCACCATTTAGCTAGGCATCAGAGCCACCTCTCCAGCTCGTCACCATTCAGCTAGACATCAGAGACACTTCTCCAGCTCGTCACCATTCATCTAGGCATCAGAGCCACCTCTCCAGCTCGTCACCATTTAACTAGGCATCAGAGCCACCTCTCCAGCTCGTCACCACTCAATTAGGCATCAGAGCCACCTCTCCAACTCGTCACCATTTAGCTAGACATCAGAGCCACCTCTCCAACTCGTCACCATTTAGTTAGGCATTAGAGCCACCTCTCCAGCTCGTTAGCATTCAGCTAGGCATTAGAGCCACCTCTCCAGCTCGTCAGCATTCAGCTAGGCGTCCAAGCCACCTTCCAAGTAGGAACCATTCAGCTAGGCATCCAAGCCACATTCCAAGTAGGGATTATTCAACCAGGCATCCGAGTCACCTGCCAGCCGGAAGCTGCCGAAATGTGCATCATCAATTGGCGTCGTCTATGGGAAACGCTACAAAAGGCTATGTTCTCACCCGATTCTCTGAGCCTCAAGTAATAACATCTTCAAGCAACAACAACAGTGCTTGATCGAAAGAACCCCCTAGGGGGGGCAAAAGCAAAATGATTAGCCTAAACGAGTTCTCGCAATCTTGCCCGGATAGAATCTCCCTAACTGTGAGGCCACCCTCATATGTCGAGCTCTACGTGCTCTCTACAAGAGTTGACGGCCAACAGAATGTGAGGCCACCCCACAGGTCGAGCCCTCCGTGGTTCCCGTGGGAGTTGATAGCCAACAAACTGTGAGGTCGCACTACAAATCGAGTGCTCCATGCTTTACGTGGGAGTTGATGGCCAACAGGTTGTGGAGCCGCCCTCACAGGTCAGTCCTGCCGAGGTGACGAGGTGTCTATAGGCCGAGGTGCTAAGAGCAAAACTAGACTGTCAAAATTCCGATGACCTGGAGACCTGCCTCCTAACTAGCGACCTGCTTCCGTCGGCCTAGCAACCCACTTCCACCGACCAAGCGATTTGCCTCTGCCGCCGAGATGGTGACCTACCTCTGCCGACCTAGCAACACACGTAATCAGCCCAAACGAGCCTTGTCAGCCCTGTTCGCGAGGTCCCCCTACAGGTCGAGCCCCTCGTGGCTCCCGTGGAGTCGGCAGCCAACGGACTGCAATCGCCCTTGCGGGTTGAGCCTTTCAAGGTTCCCATGTGAGCTGGCAACCTGCAGTTAGTAAAGTTGTCCCCGCTGGTTGAGCTCCTTGTGGCTTATTGTAGGAGTAGATGAACAGCACCTTAGAGGACTGACATAGTGCAACCATGACACCAAGCCGCTATTTAAATTCCAACATCGACGCACATATCGCAAGGGGAAGCCAAATCGCTTTCGGCATCAAGGACCCCTAAGCTGACCTCGAAATATGTTGGTAACAGGCCAAAGGACCAACGACGAAGCACGAATCTACTCCCTTCGCTGAGCTGATCTCAGCTCGGGAGTGGGGGGCAATTGATGAGGGCAGATTTGGCCCTCCATTGACATCATGACACATGGCATATCAGAACAGCTGGACTACATCCCAGCATCACCTCTCCCAACTGGCAACCTGGCGACCTACTTCTGCTGTCGATCTGGCGACCTGGCGATCTGCCTCTGTCGCCGACCTGGTGACCTACCTCTCTAGAAGCTTGCCAGTTGTCTCTGAACCTTTCGGGATCACGCCGCGTAACCGTAGGCCTTATCCTCATCCCGCCCGAATCGGAGGGAAACGGTAAGCCTTATTAATTGGCACGTTATCCTCCTTCCAAAGCGGAACAGACCCCTACGTCGTGGGCCGAGGATTCCGAGAGAGTTTCGCAATACCCATGACAGCCCAACTATATAAGGGCATCAGCCCCTGAGACCCAGGTAGATGCGCAATTTAGTTATCGCAGCTCTCTAGCTCTCTCACATTTAGCTATCTTAAAATCTCTTATTCGCTAACTTAAGCATCAGAGTGCCCACCCCGGGTAAAGCAACCTGGGCACTCTGACACTGTTTCCTTGCAGGTCGCATCAGAGCCACCTCTCCTGCTCGTCACCATTTAGCTAGGCATCAAAACCACCTCTCCACCTCGTCACCACTCAGCTAGACATCAGAGCCACTTCTCCAGCTCGTCACCATTCAGCTAGACATCAGAGCCACCTCTCCAGCTCGTCACCATTTAGCTAGACATCAGAGCCACCTCTCCAGCTCGTCACCATTTAGCTAGGCATTAGAGCCACCTCTCCAGCTCGTCACCATTCAACTAGGCATCAGAGCCACCTCTCCAACTCGTCACCATTCAGCTAGGTGTCCAAGCCACCTTCCAGGTAGGAACCATTCAGCTAGGCATCCAAGCCACATTCCAGGTAGGGATTATTTAGCCAAGCATCCGAGTCACCTGCCAATCGGGAGCTGCCGAAATGTGCAT